ACATTGTGCCTTTGTCTGCTGCAGTTGAGGTACACAGGAACAGTGGACATCACTAGGGTAATTGGGGAGGGAGGAGAAAACCAGGGCAGCAGCCCTGGGTGTCAATGTGGGGGTGGGGGGCAGAAAATTAACAGCCACTGGTGGCAGCCAGGAGCAACCACTGCCCCGTATGTTACTCACAGAGCTGCCCAGGCATGTTTCCAATGGTCACTGTTGTTATGGTTGGTCCCTGACCTACTTCAGGGACCTAACATCATGCTGATGGCACTCTGCTCAGGATAGTAAGTGCTCTCTATTTAGCTTCACATCACTTGTGATAGACCAAGTCCTCTCCTAAAGGAGGCAGCCTCCAGGAGTCCAAGCATTCATCTTACATAAATCAGCCTCAAAATATCAGTTAGGGGCTAGCACTGCAAAATTTTCCCTGCCTATGAGCACGAGTGTGAAGAGCCATGCTTCCTGACATAGTACATGGACTTCAAAGTAGGAATTAGCATCCTGTTAGCTACTTTGATTTTTCAAATAGGTCAAAACGTGCAGAATAAATCAACAGGCCAGAAAGTCTCAAATGGTCAGGTTTGTTTTCTATCTTACTTGCTCCTGCCAACCATAGGCATCCACTCATGGGTCTCGCTCATCTTCCTTTTCACTTGTGCTGCTGAGGAAAAAAAATTGCACTGGCAGGGAGATGGGTATGAATTTCTCTGACTGACTCTGAATTCTCTGACTCTATCAGACCGCCCCAGTGAAAATACAATATCTTCACAGGCTGATTCCTGTTTCCTAGCAGATCTCTTAGCTTTTATTAAACCTGATAACATCCCAGGGTATGCAAGGGAAGACTGGTTGAGCTTGCTGTTACCTAAAAGGTTCCCCTCCATCTGAGGTGTAATGCATGTCTAGGATCATCTGATTCAAGCTAAGTTTCTCTCTCAGACTATGATAAACAGCATCCAATTAGGTAGAGAATGCTCAAAAGAAAAGGCCTTGAGAGAGCTGGTGTGGTAGAAGTATACAAGCCTTCCTGGTTGGTTCATACATCTGTTCAAGTCAGGAAAGAGGGAGGGTCTCCCCCAGCATAAAACAGATGACAAGAAACGACCTACACCCGCTAAATGACTCCATGTTGCAGCACTACTTGTTAGACCTCTTGCCACATAGTGAATCCACAGTGTTTTAGGCACAGTGCATGGAGAGTGAGCTGCTGAAACAGGGGGTCTGCAGAAGCTGGCATGCTGAGGAGGAAGCCACCTGAGGTAGTCAATAGGAAACAATGAGGAGAGTATAGTGGCTGAAGTCTCACCTTTGTCACAGATTTAAGTGCCTAGCTCAAGACTACAGAGATGTCACCCTCCACCTAGCATTAACCCTGCCTGAACACTCCTGAGTCAAGACTTCCTTGGGCCCATCTCTCAGAAAACATGGTAGCAGGAGGGCATGGGAACTAACCTAGTAGCTAGCACACTGACCCAGTGTGGGGAGGCTCTCCTGTTGGAGCCATTTCATTTTGCATGGAAAAACCAAATAAGAGACAGGAGAGAGCACAAGGGAGCACTGATGGCCTGATGCTAAGAGCTCTTACCTGTGAGGAGAGAGGACCTGGGTTGCAGACCCTATTCCAATGAATGTAGAAGTATTGTAATCATTCTATGCAAAGTAAGAGCTTC